GTATTATCATCAACCTTGTTCTTCGCACCCCCTACAGGATGGACAGGATTGGTGTTGGATGTGTGTTTCGTTCTTAAAAACGAGGTTGAACACTGCCCCTTTGTTTTTCTTTGGGAAAGAGCTCCATAGTGAAATGTTACATGGTGCTGTTGCTGTTAGGATGAACTGTTCATCATGTTCCCCACACTGGCATTCATTTCAATTTGGCTGGGTTCCTGTCAGCACAGGTTTGAATAAGGAGTGGTCACGGTGTCAGTTGTCTGGTACTAGGTGGCATTGTAAAGAAAAGTAGGGCTAGACAGGTCAGGAGAGACATTAAGAAGCACTGCTACACACAAAGAGTGGTAGAGGTTTGGAATTCTCTTCCATTAATGGCAGTTGATACTAGACCAGATGTAAGTTTTAGATTTGAGAATGATACGTTTTTGTTAAGCAGCTGTATTGCGGAAATGGGCCAAGGGCAGGTATATGGAGTTGGACCACAGATCAGCCATGATCTCATTGAATGTGCTTCAGTCTAGTGGATGTGCGTGTCTGAGGCTTGGTCTCCTGGATAAGCTCATCAATGTCCTCCCTCAAAATGGAATGTGGGATTTCTCCTCTGTTGTGTTTTGTTTCTGGCTGCAAAGTGGCAGAAATTTTCTCATCGTTTTTGTCTGGCTTGTCTCTGTTATCCTCTTGGCTCATGTTACAGACATCTTCCAGTTGTGCAATGTCTACAAGGCACCCTTTTAGGATTTCTGTTGGCACATGGTTAGATTTACATTTGGAAGGTCTTCAACCTCTCTGAAAGTGGTTCCCCCTGTGTTTCTGCTTTGGGCTCAGACACTGCCATCATACGAGATTTATTCCTTACTTTGCATGGCTCTGGAACCACGAAGGGTCATTACCTCGACTAGGTTTAGGTGCTGCTCCTGACATTGCCTTATTGGTTATTGCTGCATGGCCTTCCTCATTATGCAAGAAGCTATTCTTGATACTCTCAAACTCTTTGGAAGGCCCTGTTGCTATATTGGGTTCGACTACTTATGATGATTGTGGTGGTTTGGAGTTACTCTCCTTTACTCTCTCCATGAAGAGCAGTATTAGGTCCACATTCTCCTGCTCTGGCTGGTTCCTATGGATAGTGCTTCCCCTGTATGTGCTTTGAACTCCCAGTTCCCTGAATCCGGCACATGGTCTGAGACACCTTCCTGTGGTTGCTGGTGTGCAACATTATTGGTGGACGATGGCTCACAAATGGTTTGGACCTGGGCTTTCT